CTGATGACAGCTTCCGATCCCTTACAATCCTGTTTTTCAATGACATCAGCCTGATAGGCTTTATCCATAGAGACGAGCTGGCCGGACTTCGAGAGTTCCTGTTTATTTTGTCCAAGGTGAGTTGGCACAATTTCTGTTCATCAGGCACGCGATTTTTCTAGCTGCCAGATGTCCAAAACAGATCAGCAGAAAATATAATGCAGTTCTTTTTTTGCTTTAGGAGAGATGTGCTATAAAGAGGCCATAAACCAGGCATAATAATTGTTTTATTCGTTTGCTTTGCACTTTACCAGGCATCAAGAAGCTAGCAGATTTTGCTGTAAGGAAGTTACCTACAGGTTAATATTAGTCAGCCCTGGACTTCCGCCAGACGATGGGTGCAATGATTTGCCTACGCTTGCACTCAGTTTTATGCTTGTTTAACGTATACGATCATCAGTCCATGGTGAACCACTGAATTTGTTTGCACTGATTCCTCATAGTGTTTACATACGAATCGAGTAAACATGGGTTTTTACATCCTGTGTTTACGGTCTTGGTGTTTCATACGCTTTTATAGATTGTGAAACGGGGTTGCATTCCCCATCTTGTTCTAGCCATTATCAGGCTGTTTTATTCTCCTGCACAAGAATCGTATTACAAGTATGAAGCATCACTATAGACCGATAGGGGAACGCTGGAAATTATGTCCCATAGGTAGAACAAGATTCAAAGATTCAAACCATTGCAAAACAACTCCAAGAGGCGTTCACAGTGTTCGTGAGTTTTGGACGTTGAAAATGATAGGCGCTGTCATATCATCGATAGCATTGATGAACGACCACGAGTAAAACACTTCTGTTCTTGAGCGCTCATTTGAAACATATTCCTAAACACCCTTATCAGCCCAACCAGTGCCACCTATTCTGGGCACCGACACTCTTGTGCGCTACACTCGTGCTGTTTTGGGATAAGCCTTGTAAAAAGAAAGTGTGGGATGCATACAATATGGAGCTAATTTTCTGCATTCCGTACAGAATGGTCAGAAATAACCGACGGTTTTGCACCATTATTATTCTGGTACCTTACTCGCTTCAAGGTCCCAAAGTGTTTCACTGCTTACCCTCCTGCTCCAACGCTGTTACTCCGGGCCATTACACTCGGGAGCAAACTTGTGGGTGAATGCTTTCAGGATGGTCGTCATAGGTCTCTTAGACTGAAGTCATGTTTAGTTGCAAACCGGATTTTTGGAAAACAGCGAAATATTTGCATAAACATCCGACTACTTGCTTGTTTCAATTGAATCTGTCAGTGTGGTAGGAAGAGTATCAAATGCGGGCATCTCAGTAGTCTCCTATCTAACTTGTCAATATGCGGCAACGTGGTAGAGTATAGAAAAAAATCTCATCATTTACGCCCTTGGGTATATCAGTCACTCCAATTTGTACACGGATTAGCTGGTCCGTTTCCTTTGAATGTGTCTCCTTCGCATTGTGGTAAACTTGCCTGTGCCACACGTCAAACGAACAAACGGTGAATTTGGCACGACCGGGAATCCCTCCTATTGATCAGTTGTATCTGTGAACAAACAAGCCGCTCCATTTTTTACGTTCCATTGGGGATAATTAGGTCACGAGACTCGAAGGGTTTTGGTAATGGATAAATCAAGTACACTGATAGGACATCGTATTTCCGAGATATATTTTACATGCTTGGTCCCTTGTAATGATCACATTCCGAGAGATTTCATATTTCTTGTAGTAGGCCTGGTCATGCGAACCTTACGATGCATGTGCCGGCGATACGGAAAAGAAATATCTCTATGTAAGACAGTAGTCGGTGAACTTATGTCAACTTGTGTTCACTGTTTCAGTTAAAGCTTGCCTCACACATCACTTTATGTTAATCAAATAGAAAGCATCCTGGCAAGTCATATGAATCGCTTTTTGCTCTGGTTGTGCCGTGATCGCCGACATTTTTAACACACCTGTTATTCAAACTGAACCTATTTATCGGTGACGTGCTTTTCATCATCATCGTCATCATCATCATCATTATCATCAATCATCAACATCACCATAATCGACACACCATATCAGTGTTCAACCACGATGCTTCACGTGATACTTATGCCAAACTGGTCGCTGTTTCATCAAATAAACTTCATTCCTAACACATGCATTGATGTATGTTGGAAATTATTAGAACTGACGGGCAGTGGTACAAGTGAATGTTTGTTTAAAAGTTGGAGCAGAAACTCTAGGTTCTTGCAGCAGTACACCTGGCAAAGCTGTGGACCAATTTTCCAAGCGTGGACTAACTTGGTCTATTTCTTTTTGTCTAGAATACGCACCATACGTCTCCATTAGGCTTTCCATTGATTCCCATAGCCGTGATAACAAATTTGATGAAATGTGGCAATCACTATTTACTTTTGCAAGTGGGTTCACCACACCCGAACTCTTTGTTTCCAATGCTATTTTTTATCGTCAGTTTACCTGTCCAATACTAGACATTTACTTGAAAAATGCGACAAAAGCAGCTGAACACGGCCCAAATAGCTGATGCCCATAATCTGTTTTTTCCTGTGCACCTACGCATTCCACAGCAGTTCTGTCGTATGTCCTGTGAACAGGTGTCTAACGGACTGTTCTGTTGCAGTCGTATTGGCATCATATTTTTCTCTCGAAAACTCATTCAAACACTTGACTGTATCCGACCCGAATTTTTCCGAGTAATTTTGCTAGGGACAGTAGGGCTTCACAGATCTTTCAAAAGATAGGCATTTCTGCTAATTTTTCACTAGTGATTACACAGAATAACAAATGTCCTTCTCATTCTTTGCTATTTTAAACAGCTATTACCAGCCAGTGAGGACTACATAGCTAAGCTCTTCGAAATGTACCAATGGGTGGACTCAATATATGATCACCCACAAGGTGCCAAACAGCTGACAGGAAGACTTTGGCTAGACAAGCTAAAGGAAATACAAGTACGTGTGTTATTTTTTGTCTGTGTTTCAGAACTGTAGGTTCATTGTCGCTATTGCTTACTTGTGTAGGCTAGGCATCATATACCAGAAGAACATGATGAAAATGGTAAAGTATGGGATGCTGTTGATGTGACGCGTCCTCTGACCCCGGTTTTGAACGGTTCGGTGGGAGACGCTGCAAACGAGTGTCAGCAAACCTTCGTTATGTTGGGTTGCCTGTATATGTTCTTGGATAGGCTTTGAAATGTCGACTACGTTTTGTCACGTCGTTTGCTGCATCAGACTTCACTCAACCAAACTGGCCCGAATGGTGAGAGCGATAATCGGTAACACGCTAAGGCGTGGGCAGAAATGTTTAAAGCCCTTTACAGTTTGCTTTTCGAGAATAAGGTATTTGGTTACCGAAGTGTAACTAGGCATATCGTGTTTGAATACTAAAATATATGGAAAGCAACAGGAACACATGATCTTTCTCATTTCTAGTATGACGCTCATTACGGACTGTAATACAATCGACCCTCTCTAGAAACACCAAACTCAAACTGTACCAGGTTTATCTACGTTCGCTAATAATCGACCGCTTTAGTATGCGTCTTAGGATGGAAGGGGGCGAGATGGCCTAAGTGGTTAGAGCGCGAATTTACTGGCCGGAAGGTCCGTGGTTCGAATCCGACCTCCGCCACTCGGCTTCCCCTATCTAGGCTTGGGCAACCTGGCAGTATCCCAGCCCTCGTGCTTCCTCCGGGTGGCATGGCAGCTAGGCACCGGAAGGGTGCTACGCTTTCTTTTTCTTTTCTCTTAGGATGGAAGAGGGCATATTTGCTTTAAACCAGCTATGGAGTGACAGTCTGTCTGCTAATTCGGTGTAATTTGCGCGTTAGCATCGTAAGGTGCGGACATCGGCGCCCGTTCGATCTACCTGGAAATCGCAGGCCGGTGACTGAAGCTTAGGATCAGTTGGTCTCGGAAGGTTTCCCTACTCCCGGGTGAGAATCGGAATGAAGCCTATGAATTAGGTTTCACATTATGATTTCTCGGTTTCGATCGTTGTTCATGGCTTGTACGGTTTATATGAGACATGTGGTCAAATTTGCCACTCGCTGTCCCTTTGGCATGAAGTACCCTGGCCAGTTCGTGTTGTCGATGCGGACATTTGGTTTTGTTTATTCGCATATTGGATGTTGCACTGAAAAAGTACAATGACGGTCTGCGATCACTGCTGACATACGGTGCATGGGAATTATAGGCAAGTAAGCGAGATATTGGCTTACACTTGCGTTCCGCTGTTTGCAAAACCCATCGTTAGACCGCTGTATTTAATTTGAATTCTTGCTAAATGGATGCGTTTAAAAGCGTATAAACTTTTCATATGGTTAGTAGAAGGGCATCCCTTTTATTCAACCGTTTATATTGGAGATCAAAACTTGGGGCTGTAGACGATAGACAAACGAACAGTTGAATCCAGAAAAATGTGCCCCAATTACCTGATGTTTAACTGTGTGCACTGAGCACCATGAATGTTTGATTCTTCCGTAATCCAAACGAGTGCGTTGTCCCACCGGAGGATAGTTTCCCCGCCTTAAATGTCCACAGGTAGACCAATAGCAACGAATGTTGATTTTCCCGTTTATTTCGTCTAACCAATATGGTTTTAGTAAGACACATAGTAACCCCAAGCACTCTGTGATACTGACGCAATCGACTGAAAGTTGATGATGTTTTATTTTTTTGACTGATCCAAAGTTAGAGACCATATATGTTCATGATAGTTGATGTTAACTTTGATTTTGCACCTAGTCTGGTTGTATTTGATCGTCGTGTCCTGCCCCCTCGATTCATAGTCATGTCTTTGTTTTTCCACGCCGGTTGAGCAAGCACTCTTCAGACAAATTTTAACACAGTTAGCTTTCATTGTTTCCGCTCCATAGAGCTTCATTCTACGTCCTTTGGTTTTACGAACATTGTAAAAAAAACCTTTTTTTGATCAATTTGAAAAAGTTTGTAACCGATTGAGAAGTCATCGTTTCATAGGGGCTTGGCAAACAATTAGTAGTTTTTAATTGGACAGCGTTTCGCCTTTGACACGAAAGCTTCATCAGGCCGAGTGAGCAGGTTACCAACTTGGCCAGGTTATAAGGCAGACGGGGAACAAATCAGTAAGTCATTTTCAGATTATCACACTAGATAAGTGTCAATTAACGGCTCTTGTCGGTTATTGTGGTCGCCAAAATCTTGAATTGATGGGTTAGAGGAGTTTCAAATCAGGTCCGATCGGCTCTTGTTTCTTAACCTTCCACTTCAGGGCGATGCTTCACTGCGGGTGCCACTGGCAGGTTTTCCTTCGTCTCCACGGGCTTGTAATTGTTGCGAGAATTTAGTTGAGGGTATTTGAGGTGGGTAAGGTTAAGTGGAATCTAGATGACGACTACTGCTCCTCCAACACACGGTAGCTCGTTTGAACCAAGAGTGTTCTCCACACGCTTGTCAATTTCCACCTATTCTGTTAACCTTTGGATGCCTCGCTATCAGTCTCTGTGACGTGAACCGTAGTCCCCGCCTCAAAACCTAAACATTTTGTAAACATATCTTGTGTCCCGTGTCCAGTGCGTGTTTCGCGATTGCCGAGTCTTTCATTAGCACATGATATTCATCTGCGTTTCTCGGCGGCCTGTTTATTTTTCTCCTATGCTCTCTGCGTATTGTGTGAACCTCCTTGACCGTCTGTCCTATGTGGACCTTAATACAGTCGTTTCCCTTAATTTTGTAGACAGTCCCCAGTTCTGTTTGCTGAAAGTGATCCTTCAATTGCACCAGTGCGGGGTTCAGAGCGTTTCCCCTCTGTAAAGTTACTGTTATGTTGGCCGTGTTTAGAATCCTTCGAATGACCGATGTCCATGTTTATATGGAACAACAGTGGTCCCGATCAATTCCCTTTTGGGTTTTGCTGCCGGTACCAACACCCTTCGCAATCGACACCTAATCAAGCTGGCTGGATATCCATTGCCTCGAAGTTTGTTCCTTACTTCTATTTGGGCCGCTGTCCGATCAGCTTCTTCTGTGCACAGGGACCTTACGCACTTCACATTGATGAGGCAATACTGGTGAATACCGCTTCTGTGCACGGGGACCTTACACACTTAACATTGATGAGGCAATACTGGTGAATACCGGATTCGGATGGGCAGACGAGTAGTTCAAAACTGTCCCTCTGTCAGTTGGCTTCCTGTACACCGTGGTCTTTAGTTCACCCGACCTTATGTGTCATGCAGTCTAAAAGGGCCAGTGTACCCGAGGCTGACTCTATCTCCATACAAAATTCGATGTGTGGACTCGATTCACTCAGAGAGCTGTGTAACTCACCTACTTTGTCTCGTTTCATCGGGATAAGTGTCATTTACATAACGCCAGAATATCATAGGTAGGTATGGGAATCCGAGTAAAGCGTTTCGTCACTGGTAGGAAGCAAGGTAGCAGCACGTCTTAGTGCGGCGGTGTCTGGACCGACGTCGACGGGCTGTATCTTTCTGTATGTCGGTATTTTGCACGTTTGTCTGATAACGTAGCATCAGATTATTATTATGACCCCGCAGTATTGGTGTTTCCTTCGGAATTATGCGGGAAGTTCTGGGGCAAGTGAACCTAATTCGTTTGGTCTTTCAAGAATGTTCAAACCGGGATTAGGGGACGCTTTCATTGGCTCAGCTTATTCACACTGGCTTCAAGAATATCTGAATTCTTTCGGTATAGCACTTGCAGTTAGTTTTGTCTTCACCGAAGTTGTTCCGTTCATTACGATCAATGCGAAATGTGTTCGGTGCTTGCGAAAATTTGCCTAATTCTTTTGTGCGCCTGGCGGCTCTGTTGCTATATCCTTAATTGCATATTGTAGAAAAAACTTAGGCGTAACGAGCAGGAAAATACCAACTATGAGGTGCATGTGCTCAAATGTGAATGTGGTTTTCTACTACCATGTCACTGCAACAACAATTTAGGACTTGTTATTGAATCGATCGAGGCTGGATTTTCAATTGGTTTTCTGTTAGGCGCTCCATTTATTTCAAGAAGTCGTTTCTTGATAAAGAGTGGACAGAATAACGTTCACCCTTCTATCCCATCTGCATGAGGTTGCGTCCGGAGTTATCCGGCAATTCTTCATAGAAGTCCAGTAGTCCAGAAGACATTTAATCACTCGGGTTATCCTATTTAGTAGAACCACAACAATTGTCTTTTCTCAGACAGATTCCAACCAGTCTCTTGCTGACGGACAGGATTTTGACTAACAATTGTAAATGTTACCACCTTAAACAAGACAATATTGGTAACGGTTTCTGAAAACTTTTAGACAGCCCACGACCGGTTTCGCCCTTCTTGTGGGTTGTTTCCCTTATAAATGTGTGATGCGATATCTGGAATATCGTAGTGACTGAAACATGAGGCGGCCTTTGGGCAGCACATTCAGCTGAAGAATATCATAAACGGAGACTCAATTGAGTCTCCTGTGGTAACCAAATCGATGTGCAAATGAATGTGTTTAATAATGTGTTTAATAATATACGAGTAAACGAGGACACCGTCACCCAGTCAGGGTTAGTGTACCGTGAATAATGCACGTGTGGCTGTTGCTGCTTCATTTTATTTCCGTCGTTGTCATTCGCGATCTAGTGTTGTACACAATCCGAGTAATTTATTCCAGTATCAAAGGTTTGTGTATGCATCCGATTAGCTACCCGTAGCCCAAAAGTTCAGTATGAGCCCCTTCCTCATAAAATCTTCGTGAATCCCTAATGCTCCCTGGTCGTCTAGCTTATGTCGACGAAAGCATCAAAAAGAGGCATATTTTTGACCCTGCGGTAATAAACCAAACATTTTTACGATGATGGTCACATGGCATGTGAACGGTTGTAATCAGTTAGTTGACATAGTTCCGTCGGGTTCCATTATCACCTGTTTTCACAGAAATAAGCCAGCCAGCAAATACCTGCGCGCGCTGCGGGCCCCCTCTCACGCGGGCACTTCCAAAAGGACTGTTTACAACTGGATTACAAAGTCGTTCCATTCACCTTGTGGAGCTATTGATTCCTGTCGCTTTGGAACCATGTTTTAGGCCACCCACCATCGGCAGTCTACGTCACCTCGTGTGACCCGTACATCAGTGCAAGCTACTTTAAGTGCACCAAACGTGCACATACCGTTAGTGGCGCTGTGATCTTTATGTGAAACAGTACGAATCGGTTGGTTACCATATGCTCCTGTACTGTACGTAGAAAATTATGGTCAGCTAGATTTGGGAATATATGTACATTTGTCAAACTCAATGATCGGTACCATTAAGTACATCGTTACGACCAGTAATCCAAGGTGGTGAGTGGAGATAAAGTTGATTTGCAACCGTCCTGATTTGGTCCATATAAACTCGAGCAAGCTCCTCTGCTTTGCAGTGTCCATCTCCATTTCTGAACTCAAGTTGTTTCTTGCTGTTTGACAGCTTTTCCGGAATTCCCACAAGTTTACCGGTCCCCTACAATCTCTTTTTATGTTCGACCTTCTACTCATTAATACAGTTGGATAATACAACTGAACACGGTCATCGCCCCAAAAGGCGGGTTCAACAGCAAGGGTACCCGATATTGAGAACTCTATGTGCTCCTCTTTATATGTTTTGAATTTTATTTTTATTGAGTATGACTTATGTGTGACCGCTTGCCAACATTCATACGAAATGCGTACGTGCAACGTCCCAATCTCACGTTCAAAACGTTCATCCCAAGTCGATTAATGTACTGGATTTTGTTAACGAATCAAGTGACCACCTTTTAGTGTAGCTTGTGTATTTCAATTAGTGTCATCCATAACGATTTATGTGGGTAGGTCTCTAAAGTTATTCACCATGCAAAATTATTCAGCGAACCTAACCTCGTAACTTGCGTCCGAATATTTACACCGAATTTGTAACTGTCCGTTTGTTTAGAATCCCTCATAGGTGGATAAGGTTTTCATTTTACGAAGTAGACTGTCGAACTGGAAACTCATGTATGAGAAAGCATAATCTAAATTTCCTGTTGCAAGTATACGTATGCTGGAAATTTGCGGGGGACCTTACAAACGTTTCATCCTTGTTGAAAAGTCCCAGCAACGTAATAGGATCCCATTTGTCGTTTGCTGAATAATCTTCTGCTAATGACCATCTCACTTTTTGGAAAACAACTTCTTGCTTCAGATAAAATTCTATGCAAAGTCTTTACGTTGAGTTGATCTTGAATGAAATGACCAACCGTCCACAACTATTTCTGCATTTAAGCAGTATCCTCTGTGTGACATCTGGTCAAAATTAGATAATCACGTGCATGCATTACATTAGTCGCCGAGGGATCTTAAGGAAACTCCGAGTCTAGTTATCTTTTCCGTATTTCCGGAAATCAGTTGTGGTCCTGAAGTAGTTGTTGCCGTTGTTTAGGTCCTCAACGCAATTCCTCTGTGAGCCTGATAGACTTCAGTGAGAGATTGCCTTATTTGGATTTGTCCCAAAATGATATATGAATATCTTCCCACTTGGATTGAGTGACGTCTCTCGCGATCGATCGAATTAACATTCCCACCCAGGGCGCATCACATTCTAATGGCACTATTTCCTTCAGCTAATTATCTCCTGCTCAAATGAAATGTTAGCTATCTTGTCCGTCTAGATGAAAGCTTGATTTAGCAGTTATGTTGGAACTCTGCTTTTTTGGTGCCTTCGATCAGAATAAAAGCCATCGACTCCATGTATTATAAGAATAAACACTCTTGATGTTTGTCTTTACTGTAAGTCTATTGCCCCATCTCTTAGCTTTTACGCGGCCATTTAGCTCTTAAAGTCACTTTCAATACTACATTTTCTAAAGTTTGTTTTTGTGCATTGTAACAACACGGTGTATTTACCGGCTTTTGTTGTCTTATTTGAATTCTATCGTCAAATACTACTGGTTGCTTGGAGCAACTTCTTCAGTGGTAGAACTACAAGATTACACTCCACCACAAGTAGTCGAGGGGATAAGTAGCTCATCAGATATTCATGACAGATCTTTGTTGCACTGTTGCCTTCAGGATCTCATGCTTTTAGTATGGGACTACTAGTATGGTTGCAGCCCATGCAATTAGCCAGTAGTGACTGTCTAATCGGTCGATGACTGGCAGTTTTATGATCATGGAAATTCTCATTCCCAAAGTTGTGCGCTTAATGCATCAGCCGACTATATAAGCTCACACAATTTTTCTTTTTCAAATGTATCCCAATCGATCTCTTAGTCTCGTCCAACTTCAGCTTTCGGTTTCGATATCGTTTGACCCTTGTCGAAATGTTTCCGTCCATGCCTGCACGTGTAGTTCTACACTAAGCTCCTGGCCTGGTGGTCGCTGATAGTGCATGAAACGTAGATGACCATAGTTACCGATTCGTCTCTGCACACTTATTTTTTTCTGCGAGTTATTAACATTTCTGAGAACAAAATGACGCAACTACGCTACAGTTTGATTCCTTTTGGTTTGCCCCTATATCATGTCCCAATAGCAGAAAGAAGTGAATTTGATTATCAGGCACACAAATAGGTCGATAAACATGGAAATCGATCGACTACAATAAGTGAATCATAATATGTGCATGCGTTTGGGTCGAGTGCATTAGTGAACCCGATGATTCACTGATTGGCCTACTTTACGCGCATATTCGCTTCTTTATGCTCTGTCGTTTTTGCTCTTATACGACCGTCAGCTGGTTTGCCACCAACCTGGCTTTGAAGTCGCAGTTTGTTGTCACGTTTTCACATCCGTCTATTTCGCTAAAACTTCGTGTTTTCTCTGGATCGAAAACGATGAAAACGATGGATGTCCCATTTTTGAACTCACCGGAGATGAGTTGATATACTCAACTTGCTTAACTTCGACAGAGGTTAAACTACATCTAAGTCAGTAAGCAAGCTTTCTTACACCAATTGAGATATTTTTTAAAATGTTTTTCTTGTTTACTCTGCGCGGCGACTTACTGAATTGTTCGGTTACTTCTCCTACCTAGATCTAAACCTAAACTCGTATCTTATCTTCAGTTCCCTGAATTCCGCGGCGAATTTGTTGCTTGCAAAGGGAGCCAACCAGGCTACCGTGGTTACCCTTGTGGTCTTTGGATCCTGTTCCATGTGCTTACTGTTGAACACTACAACAATGGGGATAGATATCCGGGTAGGTTACTTTTGTTATCAGTTTTTTTGAAGGTCTGGAGAAACTAAAAGCACTAGCAGTTTGCCTTGTTAACTTCAAAATAAATACTCGCATCGATATCGAGATATCGGTTTAGCACGCCAAAGGTATTTCAAAAGATGGAGGTAGACAAGGATATAAATTGTGCAGTGCTTGAAATAAGTAGGTATTTCTTTCCTGCTTTTGGATTTCATCATAGAAACAAGTGCTACCGCAATGATTATCAAGTCTGCCCCTAAAATCAAGTTTGCGATGTGTCACGACTACAGTAAAATTACAAACACAACACTAGACCACGCCTAATGTTTTACCAGCCTAATAAACCCCTCTAATTACCCAATCTCTCCAGTGAGGTGGACACGTCTAATGAATAGGCTCATGCAATTCTTGTGCAAGCTCTGCTCTCTAATTATCTAGGAATGCATTTTTGTGAATTCGATTCGCTCGGATTACTCAGATGAGTAGAGCATTGCAGAAATCGATGTAATCTTTCCGTGCTTTAGATCCTTAGAACCTGGCGCTCTCCTTTCAAATATGCCATAAAAATGACGAGAGGAAGCTTTTTTTCCGTGCAGTCAAAAGGTGAATTTAACTTGTGAGCTGTGCGTTTGGTAGATGAGATATAAAAAATCCCAATCTTCCTGTTTATAGCAATGGCTGTCTATTTAGTAACTGCTCCACTTCTTTTCCCGCTCTCTAACTGGTTAGAATTTCTTCAGCCTTTGGCTCACGTGTGATCATGGTGATATGTGATCACTGGTGATATTCACCATGCACTAGAAGGGTTTGTTCCTCTAGGTGCGGTTTATATCGAGTTATGAATGTTTTGCCGAACATCGCGTTGCGTTTAGCTATGTTTTCTGAGCAGAATCATTATTCCGCTTGCAGTGTTCAACGGTTTCTCCTGTATTCTATTGTCTTTTAATAATAAAGCGAAATATATCAATCCCTTCAGAACAGACCACCTGAATCGGGGTTCCCGAGCCAGAGAATCTCCGTGATCTACAACCCGGTGTCTGTTTTTCACGAACATGAAGAAACACAGTAGGGCTAGTCATTTTTCCATCGTAGTTTCTGGTAAGGCTTCAACGTCCCATAGTGAAATTGTTCCATGATAGTTTAATTTATATTTGATTTTAATTTAATGTTGTTCTGTCCATGAAACCATGTATATAAAGGTTGGTGGCTTGCTTAAGAGAACGGATTCTCAACTCTCTATAAACATTTTCTCCGAACTGTAACGTTAACCTCTATGGCCTGTAGCCGGACTGAAAAATGGTCGATTGGGAATTCGGAACGGTACAATCTTTGCACCTTGCGCGCAACAAAGAACACGTAAATCCACCCTTGTCTTCAATGACAATACGTAGTCTTCTGTATTTTGCCGCGTGGTGGTTTTGCTAACTTAGACGTGAAAAACGCCGATCGATGAACCTCTGCACTCAAACATGTTTCACTGGAACAGCTTTCCCCGTTACTACCAAAAAAGAGTCCATAGATTTCGCTGCACCCCTCATATTCCCACGGGTTCGCTACCTGTGCAGTAGGCGGTGGAATTCATACTACAGTTCGTGAAACACCGTCCACTAGATTGAAAAAGCAGTTCCGGATCACTCGAAACATAACCACAAGCCATCTGGTATGGCCATAAAGTTAGGATAAACACTTGAATTGATTGTTGCTCCTGAATGATGTAAACAATCCCCCAGACAGCGTTATGGAGAGACGAAAGTTGCTCTGTACGATTCAGACATCATTTCGTATAGTAACTGTTTGAGTCCAATCCTGGGTGCTGTTGTAATCCAATATCCGCTTTATCCACTAAGCCTTACTCAAAAGTGATTCGGCTTGAGTCCGACACATTTGAGATATTAACTTTCTATGAAAATCCCCAGTGAATTCGAGAGGTGGACTCTTCTCAGCAATACCACCATATAAAATTGTCGTTAACTGAGGTTTGTATATCATCGTATGAAGCTGCTATATAGCTGTTCGCATGAAAAAAAGATGAAAGGATGGTTTTTCATTCATACGGGAGGCAAACTTGGAACAGTGGATAAGAGTTTCGCCTTTGTGGGTAGCCCATGTTAGAAAAGGTTTCAATGGATAAAGTAAGATGTGTGGCACGGTTCGTTCCGGTGTCGCCTCCTTGAAATAGAACGGTTGCATTGATTCGTAACTGAGTAAAGCAACGCGCCTTTTGCCCTCAAGCGTAACAATTAATTTTTCCTTCAGATATAACCCATTGGTGAATTCACTCCTTTCCTACCAATTCCGATTAAGTCAACTGTTCAGAGGCGGCCGCTCTTGATTCGTCACCTAAGACAGGCTGTCCACGATAAGCTTTTTCTCCAGTAGGCAGCTGTTCACTTATTATCCTCAGTATAGAAGAAAAGACTGGATGCTCAGATGTTTACTTGTAATTGGAAAGTCTAGTTGACCATGAGTTGCTATCATCAATAAATGTGGAGCTACGAGATCCCAGTCACAGCTATCAATGGGCGATACAATCTACTCCACTTTAAAGCATCGCTCGACCTTGTTATACTTTTAAAAGCCTGAATACGAATGGCAGTAAACAGCCATGGTATCGTAAAGCCGATCGTTCCCATTTGGCAGAAATTACTTGGCGAGTACACTGGTTTGCGTCACAGCAGTTTATATATGACGGGGCCTGGCGGATTCATTTGAAATTTCGATCATCAAATTACATCACACATTCATTCATCCCTGTTGACTTTCGCTGTTCCCTTTGAAGACTGCATTTGTTTGGCATTTGCGGTACACCTCCTTAAACTCCAGTACACTTCACGTTTTCTGGAGTTCGGAGACAGTGCCAGCAGTTCTGAGAAAGAACGTGATATTCACCCACTTCATGTATCATGTCTTAGAGGAGCTTTTCCACTAGGTTGTTCAGTTCATTTTACAGCTTCTAGAATCATTCTTGGAATCTCCCTTTTTTGAGCCACATTAGTCGTTCGTTCTCCATTGACCACCTTGAGTAGATTATAAATACTGATCGTTTAGAGATAGTTATTTTGTTGAAGTGGATGGATTTGCATACCATACGCGCGGGGCTACCACAATTTCTTCACAAGGTTACAAGAGGGCTTATACGAATACGGGCGGATCATAGCCGTGTTACTAGGTCATTTGTCTGCGCCATGCGTCCATACTTTCTCAGCACACTGTCTCAACAGAGTTAATCCAACATGTTATAATCGGTCTCTGACAGAAACAAGTATGGAGGTTTTCTTAACCCAGCAATCTGTGTGAAAATTTAGAGCGTTTCGTGCTGCCCTCCGAGTTGGTTTAAAAAACGGTTGGCATTCATAGGTTGTAGTGGAATGTTTCATACAGTTGACCGCAATCTACCCGCAGGAAGTAAGTTAAGTTTTATATATCAACTACTCTCTCTCATGGAAATTCCAACGTTTGAAAAATATGGCATGTAAGATTCCGGTGGGATTGAATGCGTTGAGTTACGTTTTAGTGCGGCATCAGTGTACCTTCCTTAGCGATATTTGTGGCTACAGGACTGTAAGTTCGAATTTGATTGGGTTCATACTAATATGAGCCCGTGTACTCTTGACGGCAAACCCTATGTTGGACTGGTCACAACTAGTCATAACTCCCTGACCAATACTGTTCTAAAACTGGTTGTCCTGATTTGCCATCGCTCCGCTAATAATGAACTCGTTTGAGTCCCTGTACTAGCGTACCATTACCACCCATCTATCCGAGACCTGTCTGGTCGTGCGTCTGTAGGTTTACACCGGCAAACTTTATCTTCCGTTAAAAATATGTTGAAAACGAAATCGGGATTGTGACCGATTTCGGTGAGAAGTTATTTTTGAAAAGTAAGGGTTGTATTAACCAAGTTGTATCCTACACCATGTTGGCTAACAGAAATGCTGTTCTTCGAGGACCATTCCATGAAAGCGATCGCAGTCACAAAGGATAATGTTCATTGTTTTAAAAATGAAGTCTGTAAAGATCGGCTTGTTAGCGAAAGGAGTACTAGTCATTGACATTCAAAGTGAAACCTTTCTCTGTAGCACAAAGAAGCACGAGTACGCTGAGAAATTAATTAGAATCAAGTCTTTTGTGGCCACGCGCTCAAGATGCTTATTTATTTAATGGCTGTTTTGTCGGCTAAGCTTCGAACCTTATCCTTTAGGTTCACCATTATTAACACTTGGATTCGGCTTCCTAAACTTTGTGGATACGCTTTCGCCTTCTGAGCCAACAGCGGCTTACATAGATAGTCCTTTTTAGTCCATTTCAATGGCACCCGTTTCCTGAATATCTTATAGTGTCCGCAGATCTAAGACCTTCAGTAGAACCTTCGCTGGGGTCACTTGGTCTAACTACTAAAAAAACACAACTAACTGTTCTTTGTCCCTTTGACTGACTTATCTTTAATTCAATTATCGACTATATGCTGGCCTCTAATGAAGCACAAATGGCGAACCAACCATTAGTAGTGCATTATTATTACCAAGATGCATTCATCATGTTGGCCCAAAACATTTGACCTACATTAATTTACGGAAAGGCATATGTTATGGTTTATGGGTATGTGTGTGTGGTTATGTAATTGCACTTTTTATTGTTTAACAAAGAGGCACAGTATTCATTTTAACGTGCTGCTTTGGCTTACCGGCCTCAACCTCCAAAACCAGTCTGTCATCCATGTGCACAGGACTACATAAAGTGTCTTCAATCCCTACCCTTAGCCAGTACCCTATCAGGTCATCTGTCGATTTAAGAAACAACTGTAATGACGGACAGCATTCAGGTTGGCTCGTTTCATTGAACATCTGGCTGTACTCAGTCGAATAGTCCTAGTTTACCTCAAATGTCGGACGGACGGTTGCGCTCAATCCCTCTGCCGTCAACTGTGCGAAAGCATCAGTAGTAATAAAGTTGGATGGTAGGTAATACTGCTTTACCGTTGCTGCTACCTTGCGACTGATAAG